AAAATATCATTTATGATAGCATCAGAAATATAAAGCACTTAGGAATGAATCTGATAAAAGATGTAAAAGGCTCCCACACTGAACACTATAAAATATTCCTGAGAGAAATTAAATAAGAATTAGGTAAATGGAGAGATATAAAGTATTCATGGATCAGACGATTCAATATGGTTAAGATCTCAATTCTCCGCAAATAGGCTTACAGATCAAAATCCCAGCAGGCTTTTCTGTAGAAATTGGCAAGCTAATTCTAAAAATCATAGGGAAATGTACAAGTCCTGGAAGAGCGGAAACGGCTTTGAAAAAGAACAAAATTGGAGGACTACCGCTGCCTGATTTCTAGTCTTATGAAGCTACACTTTAAGACTGTGTGGGACGCCTGGGTGGCTTAGTCAGTTAAGCGTCCGATTTTCGCTTAGGTCACGATCTCGCGGTTCGTGGGTTCGAGCCCCGCGTCGGGCTCTGTGCTGACTGCTAGCTCAGAGCCTGGAGCCTGTTTCAGAGTCTGTGATTCCCTCTCTCTCTGACCCACCCCTGCTCACGCTGTCCCTCTCTCTCTCTTTCTCTCCTAGAAATAAATAAAACATGAAAAAATTAAAAGAAAAAGACTTTGTGATATTATGTAAATTTAGACAAACAGATCAAAGAGACAGAAAGTCCAGAAGGAAAGTGGTATATGGACAACTTATGTTCAGGTTCTTAGGCAGTTGAGTGAGGAAAGGATAGTCTTTCCACAAAATGGTGTTGGAACAATTGGATATCCACATGCAAAAAAAACCAAACTTCAATCCAAATCATACACAGAAATGAACTCAAATTGGTCCAAAGATCTAAATGTAAAACCTAAAACTACAGAACTTCTAAAGGAAACACAGGAGAAAATCTTTATATAATCTTGTATTGGGCAAGATTTCTTAGATATGGCACCAAAAGCATAGTCCATAAAAGAAAAAAAAAGGATAAATTCAACATCATCAAAATTAAGAATTCCCAAGACACTCATAGGTATGAAAAGCCAAGCCACAAAATGGGAGAAAATACTTAGTAAATTACATATTTCATAATGGACTTGTTCCAGAGTTTATAAAGAACTCTTAAAACTCAATAATAATATAGACAAAAGACAAATAAGCATATAAAAAGAAACATGACATTGTTAATCCTAAGGGAAATGCAAAGAAAAGCTACACTGATATACCACTACATACCTATTAAAACGTCTAAAATTAGGGGCACCTGGTCGGCCCAATCGGTTAAGTGTCTAACTTCAGCTCAGGTCATGATCTCACAGTTTGCGGGTTTGAGCCTCTCGTTGGGCTCTGTGCTGACAGCCAGCTCGAAGCCTGGAGCCTGTTTTGGATTCTGTGTCTCCCTCTCTCTCTGACCCTTCCCTGCTCTCTCTCTCTCTCTCTCTCTCTCAGAAATAAATAAAACATAAAACATTTGACAAATAAAGTGTCTGAAATTAAAAACGCTATAGCAAGTATTGACAAAAATGTGAAGAAAATGGAACCTTCATACACTGCTGGTGGGAATGTAAAATGGTACAACCACTTTGAAAAAATAGGTTTTTTTTTTTTTTTTTAAACTTAAGCATACATTTAGCATATGGTCCGGCCATTCTACTTCCAGGTATTTACCCAAGTGAAATGAAACAATGTATCCATACAAAGTATTGTACACATACATTCATAGAAGCTTTATTTTTAATAGCCAATAATTGGAACAACTCCGATGTCCATCAATGGTGAACAGATAAATTCTGGTATCCATATAATGGAATGCTATTCAGCAATACAAATGAATTGTTGATATACATAACAACATGGATGAATCAAAATAATCATGCTGAGTAAGGGAAGCCAGTTACAAAGGAGTGCATGATTCCATTTATATCACATTCTAGAAAATGCAAACCAATCTTTAGTAACAGAGAGCAGATCTGTGGTTACTACCCAAAGCAATCTACAGATTTAATGCAATCCCTACCAAATTCCAAGAGCATTTTTCACAGAACTAGAACAATCATACAAGTTGTATGGAACCTCAAAGGCCTTGAATAGCCAAAGCAATCTTGAAAAAGAAAAATAAAATTGGAGATATCACAATTCCAGGCTTCCAAATTCTATTATAAAGCTGTAGTAATCAAAACGGTATGGTACTGGCACAAAAACAGACACACGGATCAATGGAACAGAATAGAAATCCCAAAAGCAAACTCACAATCATAGGATTAAGAGTATGCAACGGAAAAAAGACAGTCCCTTCAAAACATAGTGTTAGGAAAACTGGACAGCTACATGCAAAAGAATGAAACTAGACCATTTTCTTACACCATATACAAAAGTAAACTCAAACTAGATTAAAGACCTAAATGTGAGACCTGAAACCACGAAAATCCTAGAAGAGGACACACATAGTAATTTCTCTGATGTTGGCCTTAACAATATCTCTCTAGGTATATCTCTTGAGACAAGGGAAACAAAAGAAAAAAATGAACTATTGGGACTACATCAAAATAAAAAGCTTCTGTATGGCAAATGAAACAACCAACAAACCTAAAAGACAACCTACTGAGTGGGAGAAGATATTTGCAAGTGACATATCCTATAAAGGGTTAGTATCCAAAATATATGAAGAACTTATACAACTCAACACTGAAATAATAATAATAATTAATAATAATAACAGGAATAGTAATAACTTAATTAAAAACAGGCAGAAGACATGAATAGACATTTCTCCAAAGAAGACATCCAGATGGCCAACAGACCATGAAAAGGTCCTGAACATCACTCATCATCAGGGGACTGCAAATCGAAACCACAGTGAGATGTTAACTCCTACTTGTCAGAATGGCTAAAATGAAAAACACAAGAAACAGCAAGTTTTAGCGAGGATACGGAGAAGAGGAACCTTATGCACTGTCGATGGGAATACAAACTGGTGCAGCCACTGTAGAAGACAGGATGGAGGTTCCTCAAAAAACTAAAAACAGAGCTACTCAATAATCCAGTTATTGCACTTCTGGGTATTTAACCAAAGAATACAAAAAACACTAATTCAGAGGGATACACGCACCCCATATCTTTACTGCAGCATTATTCAGAATAGCCAAATTATGGAAGGAGCCTAATTGTCCATTAATAGATGAATGGATAAAGATGTGGTATATATACAATGGAATTTTATTCAGTCACAAAAAAGGATGACATTTTGCCATCTGCAATGACATGGATGGATCTAGAGAACATAATGCTAAGCAAAACCAGTCAATCGGAGAAAGACAAAGGCCATATGATTCCACTCATATGTGGAACTTAAAGAAAGAAACAAACAAAACGAAGACGGGGGAACAAGGGAGGAAACAAATAGAAAAAGAGAGACAAATCAAGAAACAGACTCTTAATTATAGAGAACAAACTAATGGTTACCAGAGAGGCCGGGAGTGGAAGGACAGGTGAAATAGGTGAGTTCACCAAAATTTAAAAATTAACAGCTTCTGGTCTTGAGAGAGAGAACGAAATAAGACAAGCCACAACCTGGGAGAAGAAATTTGCTAAACATCTATGTGAGAGAAGGGACTTTTTCCAGAATATATAACACACTCCTAAAACTCAGTAGTATCCAATTAAGAAACGGATTTGAGCAGACACATCATTAAAGAAGATATTTGCACATGAAGAACTCCACATCATCAGCTTTAGAGAAATGCAAATGAAAGCCACAATGAGATACACAATGAGATACCTACTAGAAAGGCTAAAACATTTTTTTAACTGAAATAAATGGTGAAGATCTCACATACTGCTGGCTGGAATGCAAAATGGCACATCCACTTTAGAAAACAGACACGAATCACTTCTTGGCCTTTTGGCTAAGACCAAGTGTAGAAAACAGATATGCAACTTTTATATAATTAAATATACACTTGGCCATACGATGTAGCAATCCTGCCATTAGGTATTTTACCACCCTCCCCCAAAAGAAAACATATGCTCATGCAAAGACCTGCATGTAAGTATTTTTAGCAACTTTATTCATAATGGCCAAAAAGCTAGAAACAACTCAAATGTCCATCAACTGATGAATGCATAAGCAAACTGGCATATCCACACAACTGGAATACTACTCAGCAATAAAAGGAATAAACTACTGATATGTACAATAACATGGATGAATCCATGGGATGCCTGGGTGGCTCAGTCAGATAAGCAACCGACTTCAGCTCAGCCCATGATCTCATGGTGGGTGGGTTCAAGCCCTGCATAAGGCTCTGCGCTGACAGCTCAGAGCCTGGAGCCTGCTTTAGGTTCTGTGTCTCCCTCTTTCTCTGCCTCTCCGCTGCTCATGCTCTGTCAAAAATAAATATACTTAAAAAAATTGTTTTTAAAAACCATGGATGAATCTTAGGATTATGCTGAGTGAAAGGAGCCAATCACAGAAGACCACATACTGTATGATTGATTGATTTTAGTGTTCATTTATTTTTGAGAGAGAGGGAGATGGGATGCAAATGGGGGAGGGGCAGGGAGAGAAGGAGACACAGAATCCGAAGTAGGTACTAGGCCCTGAGCTGTCAGCACAGAGCCCGACACAGGGCTTGAACTCATGAATAGCGAGATCGCGACCTGAGCTGATGTTGGACGCTTAACTGAGCCATGCAGGTGCTCCCTGTATGATTTCATTTAGAAGACACTGTGGAAAAGGCAAAACTAAACGGACAAAAATTAGGTTGGTATTGCCAGGGCTGGTGGCGAGAAGAGGAGATTGGCTGCAAAGGCCCAGAGAGGCGGGGCCTTTTGGTGTGACAGAAATGTTCCGCCCCTCAAGTGTGGTGGTTACATAACTATGTGTTTGTCAAAACTCATCAAACTGTATACTTAAAAGAAGTAAATTTTATGAAATGAAAATTATCTCAATAGATGTGACTTAAGAAAACAATCAAACAAACCTGAATAAACAACGAAGAGAAAATAAACAGAAGAGAAATCAGCTTACAGTTTTTCCAGTTCAAAGGTCATCATGAGAATGCTCTCGATTGTTGTGACACCTGTGTTGTTCCCAGGTCTCTGAAGGAGAAAGCCCAAACATGCGTGATTTGAGCCCAAAGACAAAAACATTCTATACTGAAAAAGATACTTGACAACATGTGATTACTTAAATTCTGGCTTCTCTGTCAAGTCAGCTCAAGAGTTTCCTTGCTATGGACAATAATTTCAGAGCACTCTTAATGAGGATATTTACGTGCATCATCAAATTAATCACCTTGGCCCTCAATGGTACAATCTATTTTACTATCATCCTAATTTTCATTTTCAATTGCATGTACTTCTCTTGAGTAGTCTTTTTTTTTTTAAACATACACCTTGCTCCACTTTGCATTTTGAGATAAACGGTATTTCTCCACACATCTACGCGTCCCATGTCTGTATGTGTCTTCTACATGGCTCCTTCCTCCACAGACTGTCTTGTCCATCTACATTCTTTCTTTGCCAATACGGCTTATTTCAATAACCCAGTTAAAATTTAAGTTATGAATTTTTAACCAAAATGCAAAATACTTAATCTTTTGATGACAATAAAAAAGAGGAGAAATCATCTCATGAGCCATGAGATTGTTGCGGTACTTACAAATATCTTAATGCCAGCAATTTAAAAAGGTATGAATCTTCAACAGTTGACAGAGGGTTATGACTGAGAAGTCTGAAAAATGCAATGGAATTAAAATTATCTGCATTTTCAATAATGACTACCATGAACGTTTATGTTCATTTTGGGGGTATTTTAAACCTTTCAGTTTAAAACTAATCATTTTCTTCCGTTGCCTATAAATCACCCTTAGAGTCTGTCAAGCACTCTTCCTTTGGGAATGGCCCAAGTCTCTGGACAATAAAGTGGAGAACAGGATGAAGACAAAAAAATGTTTTGTAAAGTGGATAGCAAAGAAAAAAGATGCCAAAGAACTTTTTAGGCTGAAAACCCTGGAAGTGACTATGTTGGTGGGAAGGCCTGGCTCTGTAAGAAATACTGTCTAGTGTCCTCTATAATTCTAGATGCTTTTCTTTCTAGAAATTTAAAAAATTGCCCAGTTTCAACCACCCAGTTAAAGACAAAACTAGGACAAATTCCTCAGTTTGAGGGCCAAAGAAAAAGGGCTCAATCTAAGAGGAAATGGTGAAAGCTATCCTCCTGCTACGTGTATTCTTAAATCACAGCCTTTGTCACATGGCATGTAATCACCTGTTTCCTTATCCGTCTCCTGGACTGTCAGCTCCTTGAGGGCAGGGACCATACTTTATCGTCATTGTTGTCCCTGTGCCTGACATAGTGCTTATAAATTTTACTATTTAGTGAATGCTTATTGAATAAATAAGTAACATTTTGTCACTTTTTGACACCAGTTTTTATTCCAAAACGCTGAGTAGATTTTCTTCTCAATTCTTTAAAACAAACAAAACAAAAAAGCGAAAGAAACAGGAAGAAAGAAGAGAAAATCTGCCTTTAGGCTGTTGCTACTCAAGTATCATTGCTGTACTTTTGCAAAATATTATAAAGGTAATCATCATAACCAATACTATTGGGCTATAAGGCATCTGTGATCAGCATTTCCCCTTTAAATCTCATGATAACATTATGTGATAGATACTATCATTACCCCATTTTACAAGTGAGGAAACTGAGGTACAGAGAGGGTGTGTAATTTGTCCTAGTTTGTCAAGCCGGTCACAAGCAGAGCTGGAATCTGAACTCAATTCTGACTCCAAAGCCTGTGTTTTACTTGTATGAAAAAAAAGGGCGCTTGAAATAGCTGTTACCTTAAACTTAACTTTGAGAGCATTAAATATAGAAACACTTTGTAGAACTTCACCACTCCATCTGGGAGAGCTTCTTTGAGAATTACATATTCTATTTTTATTCCTTTTTTCTAATCATCTCCCATGATTAAGTATTTAATTAACTTATGGTCACTGAGACTTTAGAGATTTCATTTTTTTATTTTTTTATTTTATTTTTTAAGAGAGAGAGAGCATGAGAGTATGAGTGAGGGAGGTGCAGAGGAAGAGGGAGAGAGAATCCCAAGCAGGCTCCCAAGTCCAGGGCAGAGCCCAACACAGGGCTTGATCCCATGACTCTGAGATCATGACCTGAGCTGAAATCAAGAGTCAGGCACTTAATTGACTGAGCCACCCACGTGCCCTGAGACTTTAAAGATTTTAAAACCATGTTATGGGTGAATCAGTGAAAATGAGAAAGGAAGGACATCTGAAAATTCATCCCTCTGTAAAAGCAACAACAACAAAAACTAGCAAAAATGATCAGAATCAACTTTTTCAGAACTTTGGAAAATTTAAGCAATGAGCTTGCAGCAATGCAGAGAGCACTTATTTTAAAAAAATTATTAATTTCTATAAGAACAGTGAGATCTGTTTTAACTTGTCCTAGACCTCCATCCTGATGGTAGCCTTGACTAATAGCCTGCATCCCAGAGGAACAAAGTGGAGCTGAAATTCCTTGAAGCCTCATTCCAAAGAACTCATTGTTTTACCTGTCTAGTGGGTTCCCTAAAAAACTTGAAAGGCTTGTGCTTGACCTCGCTGAGAACGGCACAGTGCTAACATAGCCTCTTCCCAAGGCGCATTTTCTGAAAACAATTACAGGTAAATGTTTTAACTTGGCAGCAGTGTGAGGCAATTGGTAATAAGACAAAAAATAGCCTAACCAAAAAACCTAAAAGGGAAAAGCTGAAAATGAGATGTCCATAGAGACTTTGAAATGCTCCAACATATTCCTGGGAAATTAGAACACCACAAGACATATTCCTGGGAATGTAGACAAAAAACAACAACTTAGCACTAATAGATGAGTTCAGCAAGGTTGCAGGATACAAGATTCTGAACTACATTAGCAAGAAATATTCCAAAAATGAAATTAAGAAAACAATTCCATGTATAACAGTATTAAAAAGAATAAAATATTTAGGAAAACATTTAACCAAAAAAGTGCAAGACTCATACACTGAAAACCACAAAACATTGTTGGAAGAAATTAAAGAAGATTAAAATAAATGTAGAGATATGCCATGTTCATGGATCAGAAGAAAATACTGTTAAAATGTCACTGTGCCCCAAATTGAACTATGGTTTCAACACAATCCCTATTAAAATCCCAGCTGACTTCTTTCCAGAAACTGGCAAGCTAATTCTAACATTTGTGTGTCAATTCAAGGGATTGAGAATAGCCAAAATGATCTTTTTTTTTTTAAGGTTATTTATTTATTTTGAGAGAGAGAGCATGTGCACCTGTGTGTGAGATCAAGTGTGAGCAGGGGAGGGGCAGAGAGAGAGGGAGAGGGAGCATCCCAAGCAGGCTCCATGCTGTCAGTGCAGATTTCAACTCAGGGCTCCATCTCATAAATCCTGAGATCACGACCTGAGCTGAAGTCAAGAGCCAGCGACTTAACCGACTGAGCCACCCAGGTGCCCCAAAACGATCTCGATAAAGAACAACAAAATGGGAAGACTCATGTGGCCTGGTTCCAAAACCCAACTCAAAGCTAGAGTAATCACAGTGTGGTCCTGGCATAAGAACAGACATAAATTGATGGAACATAACTGCCAGTCCAGGAGAAAATCCTCACATGTGTCGTCTATTGATTTTCAACAAGGGGCCAAAACAATTCAGTGTGGGGAGGCTAGTCTTTTCCAATGGTGCTAGGACAACTGTGTACCCCCATACAGAGTAATGTAGTTGGATTCCTACACTTCACACCGTATATAAACATTAACTCAAAATGGATCAAATACCTAAAGGAAGAGCTCAAGCTATAAAACTCTTAGAAATCTTTATGACCTTGGATTTAGGCAACAGTTTCTTAGACATGACACCAAAAGCACAAACAACCAAAGGAAAAATAGATAAACTGGACTTTATAAAAATAAAAAATAAAAAACTATTGTGCCTCAAAGGACATTCTGAAGAAAGTGAAAGACAACTCACAGAATGGGAGAAAATATTTGCAAATCATATGTCTGATAAAAGTCTAGTATCCAGAACATCCAGAATATATAAAGAACTCTTACAACTCAGTAAAAAGACAAATAATCAAATGTTTAAAGAGACAAAGGATCTGTATAGACATTTCTACAAAGAAAACACATGAATGGCAAAGAAGCACACGAAAAGATGCTCAATATCTTAGGTCATTAGGGAAATACAAATTAAAGCTATAATGAGATACTACTCTCCACACACTAAGATGGCTATAATCAAACAGAGAGATAATGATAAGTGGTAGCAAGATTTTGGAGAAGCCAGAATCTTCACACATTGGTGGGAAGGTAAAATGGTGTAGTCACTATGGAAAACAGTTTGGCAGTTCCTCGAAAGGGTTAAATAGAGTTACCAAATGACCCAGCAATTCCACTCTCAGGTCTGTACCCGAAAGAATTAAAAACATATGTCCACACAAAAACTTGTACATGAATACTCATAGCAGTATTATTCATAATACCAGAAAGTGAAAACAATCCAAATGTCCAACAACTCTTGAATGGATGAACAAAATGTGATTGGAGCACCTGGGTGGCTCAGTCGGTTAAGCATCTGACTTTGGTTCAGGTCATCATCTCACAGTTCATGAGATAGAGCCCCACATCAGGCTTTGTGGCTTCAGGTCCTCTATCCCCCTCTTTCTCTACCCCTTCCCCATTTGCGTCCGTGCTCTCGCTCTTTCGAAAATATATAAACATTAAAAAAAGAGTGAGCTACAGATACATGCTACAACATGCACAAATCTTGAAGCTAACATGCTACATGAAAGAAACTAGACACACATTTCTATGAAATGTCCAGGACAGGCAAATCCATAGGGACAGAAAGTAAATTAGTTGTTGCCAGGGGCCTGGGAGGAGGGGAGAATGGGGAGTAACAGCTGATGGATATGGTATTTCTTTTGGGGGGGGGTCATAACAATGTTCTAGAATTAGTGGTGATTATTGTCTATCAAAGTATACCCTTGGACTGTATACTTTATAATGTTGCATATTATATTATGCGGACTATATCTCAATTTGAAAAAAAAGAACCATGTTGTGATAAATAGAGAACTAGCTGCCAGAAGACCAAACATGTTCGTAGGTGGAGAAAAGGGGAGCGAAGGCTCAACCTCTTCCATAGACTGAGGTCAGAGGGAGTCAGTGGCGAGGCTGGGAGCCATGCATTGTTGTTCTTGCCTTGGAAACTCCCCTGTTCTTCCTATTCTAGCCCATTCTTCTACATTTTTTTTCAGGACCATCAGTTGTCATTCAGCTCCTGGTACAAGGGAATGCGGAGTCGTATTCCTTGCAAAGCTTGTTAAGTGGTTTGGCCACTTATTAACAGTGTGAACCTAGGCAAGTCACCTGACGTCTCTGAGTTTCAATTTCCTCATCTCCAAAATGGGGATACTACTACTTGTTATCACAAGAGTTGCTGAAAAAACGAAAATGAGATATAGTGTGAGGGGCCATATGTGGAGCATTTCCCATGTGCCAGGCACTATTCTAAGGGTTTAAGGCACTCTCTCTTACCTGTAGAATAAGTGAAAGGTCTAAGCATAGTGCCTGGAACACAGTAAATACCTAATAGAGAAAGGCACTGAAGAAACGTGGCGGGGCAGAGGAGGAATTGCCATGCTTCCTAGAGAAAGAAGACGTGTTGGTATATACGTGGGAAGAATCAGATGCAGGTGGGAAAAGAAAAGTAGTAGCTGGGTAGGACTATCTCAAAGCTTTTGAGCTATTACACATGGAACATAATAAAACAGTCACCCTACATGACCCCAAAGGACAACCCTGAGTTATTATTTTCATCCTTAATGTTTACGCCTTTCTGCATCTGAGAAGCTGCTGCCAGGATTTCCAGTACATACCAGAAAGTGATGACAATACCCTGAAGTGTGTCAACTTGCATGTGCACACGGAAAAGGAAACCGATGCTGGCTGACTGGGGGAGCATTAGGGCGTCTCTGTGACTGCAGCTCGATTTTGCCCTCAGAGTGTGGCCACACCTACCTCATTGATATTCTCAATAAGCCAACAGGGATAAGGTTTAGATTTTCCTTATTCTCTCTTAGCGCTTATGTTCTTGGCATAATACTGACAAGCCACAGACAAGCCAGCATGTGAATGCGCTCTATCTGGAGAAGGTACAGCCTTTCTACATTGTAGAGTCCTTCAGTTTCTAAAATCAGGGAGCTTGTATTGTTAGAACCAATGAAGTGACTAAAGGAATTTTTAAAAAAGAAGCCATCAGTCTGGACCTGTGTAGGTGAATGAAGGAGAAGCACTTTAAAGTCAGGAAAAAAAAAAAAAGGATACTTAACATTTAGGATTATCAACCACTGCTGGTTTTCCATAATATATTTCATTCCTGATTTCATCTGAAAGAGATAGGATTATTGCTACCATGCAGAAAGTGGTACCTTATTAATAAGCTCTTGGCATGGCTCTGAGGTGGATTTCAGATTCAAAATAGACTTTACCACACTGCTAATGCGCCCTCTTAGTGTTTCTCAGGAACTTAAGAGGCTTCATTCAAAAAACTTACTGAGATATAATTACCTGAAACCCAGGGGTGGATCAAGGTCTTATGGGGCCTGAACCTCATCTACTTTGGGAAATCCTGTCTAATAAAAACATGCAAAATTATGAATACAGAAATTGCTAGGTCCCCTCCCAAGACCTTGGCAGAGGCCTGTGTAAGTGAGAAGCCCTGAAGTTTAAGCTTCATTCAGTTCAAATAAATCCACCTCAACTGGGACCTAAAAGTTTTACAAACATTTAATGCTGGGGAAAATATGTTTTCAACTTATAAACACCCCAGGAATATGTCACATAGGTAATAATGTGATTTAATTCAAGCGGTGGTATCTCCTCTGCGCATGTTCTCTTTCTCTTAAAATAAATATATAAACTTTAAAAAAAAAAGAAAGAAAAGAAAAATTTGGCCCCAAACAGGGAGCCCAGCCCCCAATACATTCTTCCTGTATCGTGATAAGTTTTTGGAAGTTAACTGTGAATTAGTTTTAGGAGTACAGCTCTATTCAAATCACAGGACATGAGTATTCTTTGTCATCTACTGATTTCACCTGATTTTGTTCTGTGTTGCCTACATAACTGTGAAATTCAGATTCTTAGAAGAGACTCTTGGCGTTATAAGATGCTTAGTAAAGGTGGTGAGTTTTAAGCCATTTTATTGACACCACTAAAACCTCTCATTGGAGACCCCAATGATCCTCTTCTCTGGCATGCTGGCAGAACAAGAAACTGGCCCTCAATATTCTTTCCCCAATTTAGGCATCAGCAAACTAATGAGAGGAGGAAGGAGGCCCCTACACTTGGGCACCTCCAGGAACTTACTACAGCTCCAGACACACTGTAAACACCTGCATCCAACCTAAGATAAACTGGATGAAATTGGATTTCTGAACCACAAGACAGGTAAGACAGTCTTTTCCAGTCTACTTTAGAGGAAGATCTTCACCGTAAGTCTAAAAATCCCTCTCAGGCCATTGAACGTGCCTAGTATGATTCGCTTTTTTACAGAGAAATCACAGAATTTTCCAGCTGCAAGGGAATAACACACTTCTTAACTGAAGAGTAGTCAGGACAGCAAGTGTTTGGAATTAGGCCACAGCAAATGTGTTTTCTTTATGAATGTTTTTCACACGACAGCTTAATACAGTATCTTTTCCTGTACCTCAAAAGTGCCTATTGCCCCCAGATAATTTACCTCAGAGGTATGTGTGATTTGAAAAATAATGTTTTGGGTGACTAGGGAGAGCAGTACTCTATGGCAGGTTTTCAGGAGTTCTTTCTGCTTTCCTGATAGCTGGGGAAACACCCACACCTTTTGCTCCCCTGAGAACTCTGTGCTAAACTTAGTTCTTTCAAACTCTATTTTGCATACATTGAAGCAATCAGGAACTTTGCCCATGAATTCCCATGATAATGCTGTCTTGGGGGTGTTATTTGCTTGGTGCCTTTTATTGCCCAGTCAAAAGCTGGGGACTAGGGAGAGCAGAGAGTGCCTTTTATGGGATAAGACGCGTCTCCTGGCCTGTTTGTACCTTAGTTTCCTCATTTGAAAAAAAAAATAAAAAGGATTTTGAGACATACTTTCCATAGTTCATACTGGGTTTATTAACACCCACCTAACCAATAACTGTATGATGTTTTTACACATAGTTTTTTTTTTTTTTTTTTTTACATGTATTCGTTTTCTATTTCAATTACAACTTGTGTAAAACCTGCATTCCATGCCAGGCCTGAAATGTTCCAAAGCTCAGTTCTGTGAGTAAATTGCAACCAAGATTTCTACAAAAAACAAAACAAAACAAACAAACAAAAAGACACAAGCAAACGAAGAAGAAAAAAAGATATTCTTTCAGACTATTTATCCTTTGGCAGTGATTCGAATTTATCGATGATGACGCATAATCGTTAATACTCTCTCCATATACTAAAGAAATCTCACTATGGAAGGTATTTGCCTTTTTCAAAAAATATTTGCATGAAAGATTTGAACTTTCATGTTCATACATGTGGTGCATTAGATACAAATCAGTAAATGCTCAATAGATCCTCGTGTTGAGTAATCTTTATTTCTCTCGAAAAATGTTTCACAACTTCAGTGCTATCGAGGTTAATGGTTGGATGCTCTTTGTTACTGGGGAGCTGCCCTGTGCACTGCAGGGTGCGGGACAGCAGTTCTGGCCTCCTCCCACTAGATGCCAGTAGCACGTCTACAGTCTGACAATCAAGTGTCTATATACTACCAAGTGGCATCTGGGTGCAAAATCACCCTGGCAGGGAACCGCTGCTCTAGAATGATTCACTCTCATCCCTATAATAATTCTCACGCTAAACTTTGCCACAAAAAAGATTTGCCATGTAATTTTAGCTTTCTACTAATAAAATTTTAATTATATTTCAAAATNTGTAACTTACACAAACTGCAAAAAAGGTAGTGGTTCAAATGTACGTCTTTCAATACATTGTATTTTATTGCAGGATCAATCTCTAGGAAAAGGAAAAGGAAAATAGTGCCTCAATTAGTTGTAAGATACCTAATTAGTAGGATGGTAGTATTGAATAAGTAGCTTTTGCCTAAATTCTGAGTATGAGGAATTGTTATTTGAACCTTCCAGAGCCCCTAACCCTGTCCTCACTTTTCTGAAGAGTCTCACCTTCATGATCTTCATACATAAAATATACAACTAAAGATCTTGATAGATTTTGGAAGTAATTTTTCCTGAGAGCAGACGAATCGACTTTTTGTGGCCTCATCAATTTCTAGATGATGAGCTCAAAGTTGTGATCGCCACATAGAATTTCCAATATTAAAAAGGATATTCTCACATTAGCACACCTTCCCGGTTTAGTTCTATTTTTTTGAGGCCAAGAAAATACCAGAAGAAATAAAAGATACCTTTTCATTTAACTTGAAAGGAAGTTACTCCTCTAATCAATATTAACTTTGAACTAACTCAGAAGTGTATTATCATAGTAATAGAAATTCATTTTTGGTTGACAGTCCATGAATTTAACAACTGCTTTAGCTGCAAGTGGGGCCAACAGAAAAACAACATGGTACTGGATGTTTACTTGAAAGCACCCGTTCTTGATTAGAGTTGACCCTCTTCTTTCCAGTGATTCTAGCTGAGTCCCTCACTTTCCACCTCCATGGGTGTAACTACCTTCTGACTGGCATTTTCATCTCTAGTCTCTCCCTTTCTAATGTCTACTGCACACAGTCACCAGGTTAATGCTCCAGAAGTGGTTCTCAAATACCTGCATCACTTGGGAACTGAGTCAAGATGCAAATTCCCAGCTCTCCTCTGGACTGAGTGAATCAGTAACTGTGGAGGCGGAGCCTGTGTTCTGACAAGGACTTCAAGTGACCCTGCTGCAGTCTAAAGTTTGTCTTAGAGCACTGGCTGTGATAACATAGGAGCTTGGCATGTTATCCATGGCCCTCAGAATCCTAGATCTGGCTCTAATTTCCTACTCTACAGATACCAAAGAAATGTCTCCTGCATTTTGCCTTTCGCCCACTCTCCTTTGCAAGCTTACTCTTCCCAAGATGTCTATCTGAAGATACCTAGTAGCCATTCAAGGTTCTGTTCAAACAGCATTTCTCTAGTAATTTCCCTGATCCAACTTGGTCCTTTTCCCCTCTTCTATGTTCCAAAAACAATTATACCTCTTATTTTGCCCATATCCATTTCTTCCCCTCCCTCTCTCCTCCTTCTTCTCCTTCTTTTAAAATTTTTAAGTAGACTCCCCGCCCAACTGGGGCTTGAACTCACGACCTCGAGAACAAGAGTCGCATGCTCTACTGACTCAGGCACCCAGGTGCCCCAACTTCTTTTTAATATAGTTATTTTTGCATCCCATTTCCTCAGAGCATAAACCCCTTGAAAGTATGGACTAGTCCTTAGTCCTGCTCATCTGTGCTGTCTACCATGTTTAAAACTGATGCATGAACAACAAAGAACAAACTCAAATATTTATGAAATAAATGAACAGCTGGGTAGGGAGTAGAAGGAGCAAAATGACTGTTTGAAAAGAAATGTGGTTTTATGACTTTGTGGCTCCCTCTTCTCCACTTCGGCAGCACTCCATCATCCGTTTAGTGCTTATGCGTTATGGTTTGAGCTTCTGTTTATTTTGCCTAAGAAATCGTGAGTTCCTGCAAGGGTGGAAAGCCTGTTTTAACCATCCGCGGGCCTATGGTACTGGGTACAGGGCCTGTCACATTCTTTTTTAGCTTTTGATTGACATTTTTAAAAAAAAGAATGAGAATACTTCAGCTAACATGAAATCACTGGCTTATGAAGTACTTCATGGAAGTAATGAAGGGCCTAATCCATTGGGCAATTTATCTCACTTGTTTTTTTCCAAATTGTGTTGGTAAGGTTTGGAGCCCAGATGGCAGAGGTATCCAAGACAACCAATACAAAAGTGGTTGTCCCCCAAGATACTAAAAAAGGACTATTTTTAGTGTCATATGAGGCTCTTTTTACTCACTACCATTAAGCTTTCCACATTTGCAAGAAGAATCTATTTTCTAAAGAGCATCATGAACAAGGATTAATGAACTACACAGCTCTGGATAGCCTGGGTCAAGAAGAAACACTGAACCTTTAGAGCAAAGAACGTTAGTATCTCTGTATGTCTAAATACACAGAGATACGATGCAAACACTTCTTCCTTGACAATGAGGTTGGGGAGATTTTTATTTTGTAATTAGTGAAGTTAGAGGCATTTCTGATATGTTTATTTAGTGCAAACATTTCTAACTATACCACTTAACCATCATTTTATTTTTAAAGATTTTATTTTTTTAAGAAATCTCTATATCTAACAAGGGGCTCAAACCTACAACCTCAAGATCAAGAGTTGCAGGCTTTAATGAGAAAGACAGCCACATGCCCCTTAACCATCAATTTAAACATCTATTTTCATAGTGGGAGAAGAATTCCTACACTGATCATGGGAATCTACTCCTGAAGCCAAGAGCACACTGTATACACTGTATGTTAGCTAACTTGACAATAAATTATATACAAAATCATAATTAAAAAATGACCTAATAAAAAATTCCCACACTGAAATCCTTAATCTGTTCTCTTGGTAACTTAATATGTACTTGATAATACAGCTTACGTAATTCACCTGCTTACTTAATATTTAATATTATGTAATATTTATGTAATATTATGTAATATTTAATTATTTACCTTAAATTATTTAAAAATTCTGGCTTAATGGCATTCAAATTAGTGTAAGTGTTCTATATTTTCTTGTCTTGTAGGTGACAATTTGAGGTTAACTTTAATTCCTCTCATTTTACTAAGCCAACTTTTTAAAATCTTTTCTGGAAAGGCAAGGTAGTAAATATTTTAGGCTTTGCACGCCATATATGGTCTGTCATGTATTCTTCTGTTTCTTTCTCTTATTTTCTCTTTTACAGCCCTTGAAGAATGTGAAAATCATTCTGACCTCATGGGCTGTATCAAGACAGACCATACGCAGGATTTGATCCATGAGCCATAAATAATAATAAATATAAATATAAGCAGATGGCATATGAACACTTACATAACAACGTTCGTATGGGTATCCATAATTGCTCATTACTCCTTTTCCTCTATAACTGAAGGGTTTTTTCCTATCTCTATCTTGTCTATAAAATTAAAAAGTTGAAAATGCATAGAAGGTATTTAATGCTAGAGATGGGCTTGGTCCCTATAGACTTAGAGAATTATAGAATTTTATAGGGAATTATAGAATTCTACTGTTAGAAGAAATGTTGCTATTATCCAATTTGAACTCTGTATTTTTAAATAGACATTATAACTAAAAACTCATCATAAATGATTAACTAATTAACTTACAAATACTGGAGGGATAGCAGGCCTTCAAATGTGTCTTTATGTAATTTGGTCAAATAATTTTCACTGAGAATTCTGCAAAATAAAAAGGTCATTTCTGGGTCAAAATGCAAAACACTACAACTATTTACTACACAGGACTGCTATATGTGAGGGAAACCTGAGTAATAATGCCAAATACACTAATTCTTAATTAATGTAGGGATGGTGATCTCTGCTGTTTGACTCAAATCTTTCTTCACATGTACTCCTTTGTGTCCATCTCTCCCTCTCCCTCTCTCTCTTTCACAGACGCACAGACACACACACACACACACACACACACACACACACCTCTATCCACTCTTCACACCAAAATGTATATTTCATGCCTACTCTCTGGATCACAAATTTATCTTTGTAAGATAAATTGCACTCAGGAGTGACCAAATGGCGTGAGAAAGCCAACTCTATTATGGACAGAAAATAGAAACAAAGCCAACAGCTTGTAGCTAATGAATCACAGTAAACAGAGAAAACACAAGAGGATTTGAGAATAGCAATATTAACAAGGTGCCTGGGTGGCTCAGGAGGTTTAGCATCTGACTTTGGCTCAGGTTACAGTCCATGGGTTTGAGCTCTGCATCAGGCTCTGTGCTGACAGCTCAGAGCCCAGAGACTGCTTCAGATTCCGTGTCTCCCCTTCTCTCTACCTCTTCCCCAATTGCTCGTGTGCGTATGTGTGTGTGTGTGAGTGTGTGTGTGTGTGTGTGTGTGTGCATGCACATGCATGCGTGCGCTCTCTCTCTCAAATATAAACAAACATTATAAAAAATTTAGAATCATTAATATCCTACCGACAGATGTAAATAGTATATCCAATAAAAAGAACCAACACAAGATTATGGGAATGAAAAGTAGTATCACTAATAAAAAACTCAGTCTGTGAGCAGCAGAAATGGTAGTTTAATAAATTAGAAAACTTGAGATTACTTATTAATACTTGCAATGCTATTATATTTACATTATTATTTATTATATATACATGGTTATATTTATATAAATAATATTCTTACTTATATAAGCAAATATATTTATTATATGTTACATTATTATTTACATATATCTTTATTATATATTTGTAAACCCCTTGACAAGCGGGTTATTTAGTCCATTTTGTTATTGATCCTACTACATCCCTGGCATGTAAAACAGTTCCTGGAACATAGGGGTTGCTTCATAAATATTTGCTGAATGAATTCAGAAAGTGACAGGTATCAATCTGCAAATATGCTTTTATTTAAAACAAATCATCCATTTATTATCATTTATGAGGAGAAGTACAGATTTCTAGGAAAACAAATGTCTTTCTCCACCTCCACCCCAATTTGTGACTCAATCGTTTCAGACAAGAATCTTTTGAGATTTTCATAAAAGCTCTGGATCCCTTCCCTAGAAATCTGCACTTTCTAGAATACATGTGCAAAGGTGTGCATGCAATATCCATTTGCGGATCATCCCCTTAGGGCGCAGGTCACTGAGTAGAATGGGTTGAATTGGGGGGAGGGTGGCAAACTTGGATGGAAAATAAAATCACATCTCTATTTTCACAAACCTCTAACTAGAATTAGCATTTCCTTCCATTATGAATGTAGGCAACAAACCGCAGTAGATCAGTATAGTTACTTTGGTCCCCAGCAGAAATCAGTGATATTTTCATATCACATATTTGGTGTGGATATCTCAAAATATCATTTATTCTCATCACTGCCTTGAAGTTACAATAGTTATCAAGCCTACCACCGTATTTTGTTATTTAATGTGTTCACAGAAGCAGAGTTATTGCTATATCATTAATCTTTTGAAAAAATATTTTAAAAACTCTATTTCCACAAAATTTCTTTTTCCTATATATTTTAACTTATTAGACATTTAAAAACATTATCCCAAGAACACAGGCTTCTGCAGATCATCAACAGATATACAGAAAAAAAGGTTAAAATTCTTGCCTCAGGGGATCATTGAGCCATAGTTTAAAACCTCTGTCTTACAAGGTTGCCCCCCACGTCCCCCCCCCATTCAATCCATTCTAGTCATGGACAAGGTTACAAGGCATAACCCTCAAGCTGAATTAGAAATCATCAAATCTTACCAAATTCATGTTCTAGGATATGAACTCCCAAACACATGCTTTTTAAAACTTAACTTTTTTAATTTCAGTTAATTTTTTAAAGTATGTAATATATATTCGCATAGCTCAGAATTCCAAAGGTGTCTATAGTACACAATTCAAAGTTTTTTCCTACCCCTCTCCCTCAGCCTACCTACTCCCACCCCACTCTCTAAAAAAAGAGAATGTTATTTATTTCTTGTGCCAAATTACTTTCATTTTTCTTACAAGTTTGGGAAATAAGATCTCCAAGTCAGGTACTATCATGGGAAAATATAAACTACATATAGTATTTAAGACATTCATAAAATAAAAGACCAAAAAATTCAGACCAAGGGGTGGGGGATCCACTTTAGGGGGATCATAATCCCTACATTTAGATGACTATGACTATTATGTCTTTTATTATTAATTCAGAAGTCATTTATGATGTGTCTACTCAAGTTGAACTAATGATATGACACACAGTCTGTCATGAAAAATGCCAGTTTAATTTCTTTAATATTGTTTCCAAAATTGCTTGTGTCTACACTGACTTTTCTACGAATCAATTTTTAACCACAACAAAAAAAAGGATAATAAAAAATTGGCAAAGAACAGAAAATTCAGACAAGAAACACAAATGACCAGTAAGCATACAGAGCTATTTAAATTTACAAGTAATCAGAAAAATTCCAATTCAGAAGGGACCCATTTTATTCACCCATCAGACGAGCCAAGAAACAGAGGATGCCCAGGGGTGGCAGGGTGGGAGGAAATGAGTGCCGTCACAGTTTACGGATCGGTGGGTAAGTTAGTACAGCTTTTTTGAGGACAGTTAAAATTGGATATCTACATAGTCTTCATGCCAACGATTCCATTTCTAGAGATCTATTCTACAGAAATACCTATGCATGTACACAAAGATGCATGTATGAGGTGGTTCATTCAGCAATGCATGTGACAAGAAAATTAGTCACAGTCTAAACATCCATCTAGAGTGGAATTATTTAATTGTAATAGACTCATACTATGGAATATTATGCAGCAGCTTGCATGAATGGAGTCACCCTCTATGTACTGGAAGGAAAGAAATCTAAGACATACTAGGAAGCAAAAGAATCAAGTTGTAGGATGTTAACATTTATGTAAGAAAAAAAGAGAGAAGAAAATCACACAACAAACCTATTTTACTGTAAATATGTATGTAGATAAATGTATGGGAAAAGGTCTGGAAGGATATATACTAAATCCAGAGTAGCGACTCTGTGGTGGAGGGTTAGACCACGAGGCAGGTGTTCACTGTATTTGTTATTTCGTTAAAATTTTTTTAATGTTTACTTTGAGAGAGAGAGAGAGAGAGAATGAGCAGGGAGGGGCAGAGGGAGAGGGAGACAGACTCCGAAGCAGGTCCCAGGCTCTGAGCTGTCAACACAGGGCTTGAACCCATGAACTGTGAGATCATGACCTGAGCCAAAGTGGACACTTAACCACTGAGTCACCCACGTCCCCCTGTTATTTCACTTTTATATTGAGACTATAATCATGTATTCCGTGTATAATGGAAAATAAGTTTAAATTGACTCTAATTTTAAGGAGAGCCTGCCAAATTTAATTTTTAAAGTAAACATAGAATTGCAATTGGTAGAGGCTGATTTGGGATATGGAAAGGGGAAACACTTTTCCAAGGAGCTACTGACTTCAAAGTTCTGGACCAAGAAGGATCTTAGAATGCAGTGAGTTTGTGTGTGTGTGTGTGTGTGTGTGTATGTGTGTTCATATTTGAAGAGAATAGACTCACAGTTTCTCAGCCCAACGGTATGCCTTTCATATATTCTCATCAATGTAAGAAATAGAGTTTCCTTGGAAATTTCTGTAAAGAAACACAGTTCAGATCCTTGAATAGGTAGGAAAAGGATGAACAGAATAAGTAAAAGGATCACTGCCAACCTTGTGGGGAATATTCCAATGCAGAAAATGCCAGCTTTCTAATTTCCACGGCCCTCAGCATCCCAGTGTAATTAATAAAGAGAAAGCATGGGGGCCATTGCTGCACAAACAAGGCAGCTCCTTAGAACCTGAACTTCCTATTTGTTCAATTCCTTGGATAGATAATGCCGGTTAATTACTTTGGAGAGAAGTATGTTTTTCCCAACATCACTTATGTGTCTAAATTGATTCTTTCCACAAATCAATGAGAAAATAAGAACTCAACAGAAAAAATGGTGAAAACACTTACCATTATCAGCAAACAAATGTAAAGAAGCCTATGCCAGGCAACACCAAAGCTTTGGCTCAGTGCCTTCTGCTGAAACCTCTCCAGGTGTTAGAAGGATAAGGGAAGTTGGAAATTAGAAGAACTAATATGGAAAGATTTCTTAGACATATTGCATAGGGAAAAGCAACAAATAAACTGGAAAAGGAATAAAAAGTATTCCCTCATTAGGAAAAAACATAAAGGAAAGAGACGGGAGGAAGGACACACACCAAAAAGGTAACAGGAGTTATGAGTTGGTAGGGAGCGTGCAGTGGGATTTTCACAGGATTTTATCCTCTATACCTGTGACATTAAAAAAAAAAAAAGTATCCATGATAATTCATGTAGCCATGAATTACACATGTTTAAAAGAAGCTATTAAATGCCTGAGGTTCAGTTTCAACCACTAACTCTGTGTATGACTTTGAATCTTTACCTTTCGTTTTGTCCTCTTCCCTCAGCAGCAGCTTACCTATTCAGTTTACGTACACATTTTTTCAGGGGAGTCAGAAA